GGAAACAAGCCATCAAGTGACATCACTAGACAAGCCATTGCTCGAGTGGAACCCGAAAGGGAAGCGGTGAGTTGGTCGTCAGTGCGAGGGTGGGTGACTTGGAGGAGGTCATGTGAAGAGGAGATGAAAGCATGTGGGCAAACTTGGAACCAGGTGAAAACTTTAGCAGAGAACCGAACGCAATGGAGACGCACGGCTGAAGCCCTATGTTCCTCTAGGAATTAAAGGAAATAATAATAATAAGTGTAGAAGTAAGCGCTCAGGATACTGTTCTCCTTCTATACTACTTCGGCTTTTCGAATACCTTAAGTATGTCGATAGTAGCCTATATTAGTAATAATTGAATATATGGGGTTAATTTAAATCTAAAAACATTTTTAAATATGCTAAAGATAAATAATGATTAATTAATCAGAAAAATTACAGTATTTCTTAATTTAATTACATTAAAAAAATGAAATATTATTTATTTTGAAAAGCAATTTGTGTTTAACCTGGTATAGTATAATGCACACAGCACACATGTTGTTATTTGTTAGTCATTCATATGACTTGTAGAGATGATGCAAATATGTACAACAGATAAAAGGAATCATTGTTAGTCATTTCAAATGCAAATAGATAGATAGACAGACATACGATCGATAGATTAACCAGGTGGACTGCCGTACACATAGATAGGTAGATAGATAGATAGACAGACAGACAGACGCATAGATCCGTATGGAGTTAGTTTTTTTCACAAATTAGTGGTGGTGGTGGTGGTGGTCTTAACTTGCCGATCCAGAATAATCACACAGCAGAAGTCAGTGCAGGAGAAGAAACAAGGTAGTTATGAGATCAGCGACAGAGAAAAATATACCGTCTGATTAATCTCTTTGTTTAGAATATCAAATTCATCAACCTTATTCAACAGCTGTACGACAATGGCACATGTCAAGTGATCCACAACGGAAAACTCAGCGAGGCGTTTGGAGTAAACACAGGAGTCAGACAAGGGTGCTTATTATCACCAATGATATTCCTAATTGTGGTGGACTGGATTATGCGTCAGACAGTGGGAAACGAGAAGACAGGGATATCCTGGACCGACGTGAAGAACCTAGAAGACCTGGATTTCGCAGATGATTTATGTTTGATGTCACACAAAATCGAAGACTTACAAGCGAAAACCGATAAACTGGTCGAAGAAGAGGCAGCAAAGACAGGACTCCAGGTGAACATAGACAAGACGGAGGTTATGAAAATAACCAACCAACAACAACAGCAGCAGCAACATCCAGCGCCAATCACCATCAACGGGAGGGAGCATTGTCTCAACTACAGGAGGAACGGACGAGGATGTCAAATCGAGAATCGGGAAGGCGAGAAACACATTCATCAACCTAAAACCAATCTGGAAATCTTCGTCACTCAACTCAGCATCAACAACAAAATTCGGATTTTCAATACAAACGTCAAGTCAGTCAGTTCTTCTATACGGATCAGAAACTTGGCCAGTGTGTCACAAAGAATATTTCCAACAGCCTGTTGCAGACCTTTATCAACAACTGTCTTCGTTCTATACTGAAGATCAGATGGCCGGAAAGAATCACCAACAAGAAACTATGGGAACAAACAAAACAAGAACCAATCGCCCAACAAATATGCAGGAGAAAGTGGAGATGGATTGGACACTCGCTGAGGAGGCCGTTGGGTGACATCGCGCGTCAGGCCATAGCTCGAGTGGAACCCGAAAGGGAAGCGGCGAGTGGGACGTCCAAGGGTGACATGGAGGAGATCGTGTGAAGAGGAGTTGAAACAGTATGGACTAACATGGATGCAGGTGAAAAGTACAGCAGAAGACAGAAGCAAGTGGAGACGTGCAGTTGAAGCCCTATGTTCCACTAGGAACCCAAGGGAACAATAATAATAATAATTAGAATATCAAGGATGATGATAGAAAGGCGGCTGTGTGTATCGGCTTTTGAAGCTGATCCTTGCTATGTTGAGTCAAAGTTTCCTGTGATTGATTTCTACAGTTTCGATCACTTCCACCAAGTGACAGTTGACGGTAGCTAGTGGTGGATGCACATTTCGTCCTGGATGTACCGGGCTCCCCAATGAGGATAGTGATGTTCTCACTGCAACTCGAACCCATCGCGCCCATCGTTCCAAACACCAAGGGTCATGAGAACAAGGAATATCAGTTGTTATTTGCTTGAGTTAACCTGAATTTCCCATTCATCGACGTAGATTGCTCTGAAATGCTCTCTGTCACTGGGGTTGTGGTTACATACATGCAGCCGCTGAGTCCCAACAAACGGGACATAATAGTCACCATGGTGTGTGACTGGCTATATAAAGCATGTTACCAGTGTCTTTTTGGTGGAAAATAATGAATGCTGGCTGGATTCAACATAGAACTTGGCACCGAAGTGCACCAGTTCGAGTTGCCACGTTCCAAATAGCACACAAAGGTAGACAAGAAAATGAGTGAAGAGAATCAATAGAGTTTTGACAAGTATAAGAGTGAAACAGAATGAGTAATGGTAGAAAGGAATATGAAAGATTACAGAGACTGAATACATCTGCGTAAGCCATTGACAACGATTTTGAGCCATGTCACCTATTGTCTCCAGCCATTGATTCTTAGAGTCCCGAGGGCGGGCCCCAACCCGGAAGTCTGCATCTCCCTACCTGACTCAGTTTAACTGTCAAGGATTTCATGGATTGATGCCATGTTTTTGTTTGGCCACCACTTACTCTTTTCCAACCTGCACCTATATCAGCTAGTAATGCCCGTCCGTCGGGGGAGGCGATGGTTAGGCATGCGCAGCACGTGACCTAGCCATCTCAATCTATGTAACTTTATAGCCTCTTCGATTGATTTTCCCTCTTTGCCCAACACTCTACGCCTAACGTCAACATTACTTACCTTATTATACCACCTAACGTGAGAAAGAGATCGTAGACATCTATGATCAAAAACAGTCAACCTTTTCATGTCTTCAACTCGTATTGGCCATGTTTCAGAGCCATAGAGAAGGACGGAGCGAACTGCTGAGCAGTACACACGTCCCTTGGTTGATAGTCGGATGTCACGCCTACGCCAGAGATGGTGTAAGTTAGCGAAAGCAGCTCGAGCTTTTTGGATCCGTGCTGAGATTTCGTCACCAATCAATCCGTTGGTGCTGATACAACTTCTCAAATAGGTGAAGTGGTCAACATGTTCTATCACTTCACTCCCTATCACTAAGCTAGGGGTAGACGTAGTCCAGTCCTGTAGCAGCATCTTACATTTTACAGGGGCGAATCGCATGTAATGAATGCTCATCAGTTAAACGGGAAACTTGAGTTCGATCCCCAGCCAACTCAGCTTTAAACCTCGTTTAGTGTACTATTTTGGTAGTAAAACCGGGGAAGAGGGTGGCCTTATGCCAAATAAGGCCAACAACCGCACTCCTTAATAATACAACACTACGGCCAGTGAAACTCCACAGCTTGTAGTAGCCCTATGTTCCTCTGGGAACTCAATGAATAAAAAAATCGATGGCTTATCGTACATACCTACATCTCAATCCTTTGTTTGTTATTTGACAATGAATAAAGCGATGGAATCCCTGATTTCCCTTCTTTTATTTTTCCTGAAGTCTCTTAGGCTTTATTCTCATGCATATTAATTAAATTAATCGGATTGACCATATTCATCATAATAAAGGTTTTTGTATTTCCCAATGAATGAAAAACAAAACGATATTACTGTTTGTACTGACGTTTCGCTATTTAATGCTTCTAATAGCTTTATCAAAGTATTATTAAACCGGAATTTACAAAATCCACTCAGCTTATATATAACAAAGAGTTAGGGGGTGAGAAAATAGACTTAGGTCAAGTTAAAGGGACATATTGAAAGTCAAAATAGCAATGAAGATAACTAAACCAAATAACAAAGGTAATAGTACGTCTGTTATGATATCAAAATAAAGTTTGCTAACTTGATCATCGTTCGTCAGTCTGGGGTCGTTTTGCGTTGTCAAGTTGGCCAATTGGTAAAGATAACAAAACCAAGTGTAGACTGTTGGATTTGATCAGTGCATAAAATTATAAAAGCAGTGTGTGTTTACATAGTGAACTTGCTTATCACATTCGTGTTGATTTTGTCACTTCATTGGGAGGGGATGTTGTAATCAGGTCAGATTTTGTTTTAGTCCATCATTCCTATTCAGACAATTTGGATTCCATTTGGCATGATGAAGTGCTTCTGATATTAGACGTTCTTTATGATTTCTGAAGTTTTTCTGGATGATCATTTCAATATCGTCGAAATCAATTTTGTGGCTTGATTCTATAGCGTGTAGACGACCTATGGCTGATGATTTTTCAAGTTTTTCTAGTTCAACCGGATTTCTCGGTGGTCGAACAGATGCTCTACGGTGTTCATTTCTTCTGATTTTGATTTCTTGAGATGTTTGTCCAATGTATATCGCATCACATTCCAAGCATTTTATTTTATAGGCACAATTAGATAGAGAATCTTTAGGGATTTGGTCTTTTATATGGACAAGGTTGCTTTGAAGTGTGTCTGATGTTTTGAAGAAAACTCTAATGTCGAGCTGATTGAGTACCCTCCTGATATCGTCTGACGTCTCTGCTCGGCCAATTTTACAGGCCGACCATAGATATCGGGTGTGCGTCGGCAGGTAATCGAACCCCGGACCATGTGCATGGTCGGCGGGAGTCCTAACCACTGTGCCACCGACGCACATATATGGAATGACGACTGTTGATGTCCATGTTTTCGGAATGCATTTTCGAAATGCAATGTCTATAAAAATTAGCATTAAATAGCGAAACGTCAGTAAAAACAATATCGTTTTGTTTTTCATCCATTGGGAAATACAAAAACCTTTATTATAATGAATATCATATACCCAATGCCCAAATTGTTTCAAACCGTTAAAAGTGAACTTGGTTTTGACATATATAACCGGATTAATCGTACTTGCTTTCCATTTCAGTGTATTCCCTAATCACAAGACGAAGATTTGCACGAATGGCTGTTTTAGAAGGTCAAAATATCCTAGTTACAATATCTGGACGTAAAAATCGTGTACGTGTATATTACCTGTCATGGCTTCGAAGTAAAATTATGAAAACTGAAGGGGTAAGCAAATTCTTTGTCCTTTTTTCCCCAAATTTTTTTTTTTGGCTTTTCATCCCGTAACACATTCTCATTCATCATTTCATTCCTTCACGTTGCGAGTGGAACACAATTAGGGCTTGAAGCTGCTTTGGGCTTTAAAGTTCCATTAGCGGTGATGTTGTTTTACGGTATGGGGTTGCTAGCCTCACACTCAACGTTCCCTCTATGTCGGGTTTAGCACCGGGCTAGCTAAGGTTTTGGAGTTGGGAATCGAATCCCAGACGAAATGCGTAGGCATTGGTGAGCATTCTACTTTTGAACCCCTGAAATCCCTTGATACATTCATGGAAAATCAGTACATTCGACGCATTTCATTGACTTGGTCATTTACAGTCTTATGCTAAGAATCTCATCATGTTTGTAAGACGCCTACTAAACTAGAAGGTTATACATCGCGATACACTTCGAAATGGTGTCATTATATGCCTATAAGCAGTCCTCAGCAGTCCTTGAACCTAAATTTCATACTTATTAGCATGTTAGCATGCTGACCGCTTCACTTATTCTTAGAGTTCCATCAATCCTAATGGAGTCACTTCTGACGAAATCTCAGGGCGGATACAAACGGCTCAGGTGTCATTCACCAATACACGTCGTCCCTGCTGTACACACGATATCTTGCTACTGATCAAAAGATTTATGCAGTGTGTGGCAGTTCACGCCGTCCTTCTCAATGGTAGTGAGACTATGACGTTTGGAAATGGAAGATATGATGAGGCTAGCCGTTTTTGACGATATTTGTTCTTCCCTATTCTGTTCCTCGCATTAAGTGGTCTAATAGGGTGAGAAATATTGAAGTTAAACGTAGAGTTGATGAAGTGGTGCAGCTACATTTGGTTGAGATGGCTAGGGCATGTGTTACGCATGCAGAATCACTGCGTTCCTTGACAACCGATGTTAGCTGATATCGGTGTAGGTTAGTGAAGAGCAAGCGGTGGTTATACGTAAACCTGGAGTCAATCCATGAAGTCTTTGACTGTTGGTTTGAACTACGTAGGGAAGTTCACACTTCTGATTGACCCTGTGATCCTGCTTGTATTGCTAAGCTTTCGTTGTCCTTCTAGACAACATCAACGCCTACATCAATATGAAGTGGGTTTATCGGCATTTTCTATGAATGATGTAAGTGTCTCTCCTGATCCCCTCAACTATGAGTGGCTATCTTCAGGGATTTTCTCATCCCTGTGTTTATCTCTATTGATATTGATTGTTTCGATGTCCTGGTATCTAAAGTCGTTTGCCATATCTTAATCAACCGCTTCGCAACTTGAGCCCTCCTAAGCCAATGAGCAGCAGGTTTATGTCGAAGAGTAATGTAATTTATATTTTCTAATTTTATTCCTTTCAATATTTTTGTTTGTCTTTTTCCAATTTAGTGTGATAAAAAGAACGGTTGGGTTAATGTTGGTGAAAATCTACAAGGAGCTGTACATTTCAAAATTGGTGAGTTGATTAACTTTATGGGATTATTCGAGGATTCATAATTGAATGTATCACCGTATCGCTGATAAATTTCGATATATACTTCACACTACTTAATTTTTTGACAGTAACTTGTGGTGTTCCACTTAAATTTCTCTCTGGTACTTCTGTAGCTATTCAGACTCTTAGCCTTTCTTTTTATCATTCTATTTGGGCGTTATTTTTTATGGAAAAGTTTCAAAGTGTGAACTGAGTTAGCTCTCAGAGCTGAGCTGATGAAGTAGTTGGCGCCAAAGGAGAGAAACGGCTGTCCGGTGTTTACATCATATATGACTACTCGTTCTATCAGTCAATCAGTAGTATATGTACATATAGTTTTACTCATTTATGCTTGTTTTCGTGATTATCATTGCTGGTGGTATCAAGCAGATCGCATATATTGTAAATTGCGAAAGTTTAAATTTGTACGGTAGTTCAATTTTCAATTGGTATTGTTTTAATGTTATATCGTAGGTTATTGTTAATTTAACTTTTCCTTCTCTTTTTTTCTTCAAAAAAAATAAATAATACAGTGAAGTATGAAAAGATAAAATTCCTTGTCATTGCTCTGAGAGATTCTGTAGAGATTTATGCTTGGGCACCTCGTCCTTATCATAAATTTATGGCTTTTAAAGTGAGTTTACATTGGTGTCGTTTTGGTATTCTCGCATTTTGTAGTGTTGTATGTTTTTACTAATCTTCTAATTCTCGACAAATGTCTATTCAGACATCGGGAGTTTCTTTTCGGTGAATTCATCCACCTAACTGTATGTACAATTGCCTATACATAATCCAAAGGGTTATTCAAACCGCGGATAAAAGAGGGACGCATAAAATGCAAAAACACAAGATTTATCTTAAAATACCGTATTATATTAAACATAAAATAATGAATTTAGACAAAGCAATAAGAAGATGTAATTTGTCCGAATCGTGTAATGTGTATTTGCGCGACACATTTCGAACAACCTGATCACACACGGACTTGTCATAGGAATTATATGTATGAAATTAATAAAAAGAGTTAAGAGGTGAGAAAATCAACTAAGGTCAATTTGAAAGGACATATTGAAGGTCAAAATAACAATGAAGATCACTAAACCAAATAACAGAGGTAATAGTACATCTACACTGACTGGTATCAAAACAAAGTTTACCAAGGAAGATAGGTTTAGTGTGATGATGAATTGTTGCTTTGAACGCATAAAGGTGGTTTAAACTTCCTAATTGCTAGCTAGGGATTCCACAAACTTTAGGATACGCCCATATGGAAAGCATGTAAGAAAGACAAAAGAAGTACAAAACTGTATACTACCGGTTGACTGAGATGAGTAGTTGCGTACCACTCATATCAACGAGTAGTGCTTGCTAGTCAGATCGCAGGGAACTAAACACCTGACGGCAGTTTCGTTCGTTCGTCCGGCGGCTGAGCTCACCAACTCTGTGCCCGGTTTAACCCAGACGTGTTCAGGTGGAGACTTCAATGTAAGGTTTATGCATTCTGCCATAACTGTACATCATTTTTTAAAACAAGCAATAAAGGTTAATAAAGCAGGATGATTTAATGAATTCATCAAATCTCGGTAGAACTCGTCAGTGCTGAATACTCTACATACACGGATAAATATACTTTTAAAATTACATTGGGAGATATAAGACTGATAAACTACATTGAATTAGTCATGCAAAACTATCCAAACAGTTCCGGAGAAATCTGTCTATATCAGTTTGCCATTCAAAGGAGATGATGTACAGGACGTAGTCAAACGAAGACTCGATAAAGTTATCAAGAGAACTTATTATGCTGCAAAACTCATCTTCCTCAAAACCACCAAGTGAGTGCTACAACAATCTGGGAAAGACCAGTCACCAAACTTGGACACTTCAAACTGCGTACATCAATTTGAGTGTGTTTGTGGAAGCAAATACATAGGTCGTACAGAAAGGCGATTGTCTACTCGCATGATGTGGAGCATTTGCCAAAATGGTTGAAAACACCTGAATGTAAAGTGCCAAAAGCCTAAATAACAAAACGTCTTTTGGACTATGTATATGATATCGACGCTGTCAAATCATTCACTGTTATTGTCAGCAGACAAAGAAACAGGAAGATGCTTTCAATTGCAGAGGCTTGTGCAATTCGAGTTTATAAACCAGGTCTCTGTGTACAAAAGGAGATGGTCGTCACTCTGAATCTACCATGGCAATACGTTTTACTTATTATTCTACCTCTTATTATTATTATCATTATTATTCTTGATTCATTTAAAACTAACCTTTATCAGTAGCATAATCTTAACTCACTTCAACACTATTATTATTATTGTTTTTATAAATATTACTATTGATATTACTGTGTTTGCAATTCTTGTTACATTCTCTAATGACTAATTGTTTGAATAAGGCATTAAGAAGACAAATTTCGCGAGATGATATCATTTCGTAGTTTCTTTACACCCGCCTTACAACTAACATGGTTAACAATAATAAAATAAAGTTCATGACAATTACTCAGTTAAATAAAAACACAAAAGTACATACTAATGACCAATCATATTTAGATAAGTCATGTAGTCCAAGGTAGGCGAAGATTGAAGTCTATTGATTTTTGTACACACAGTTTAGGCTGTATGTGATTAATCCAAAGTGCTTCCATCACCTTCAATAACCTTGAATTAGAGTCATGTGAAATAATTGTAAACTAATTGTTTACCTAAGTGATGTAATTGGAACGTAATGCATTTTATCTTAATTTTAATCTCTCATACTCCCTCTCCCCCTTATCTATTTGAACATGACCTGGAAAACATTCGCATGTGTCTTTCTGCATGACTAATTCAATGTAGTTTATTTGTGCTTATCAGTCTTACATCTCCCAATGTAATTTCAAAAGTATGTGTATATCCGTGTATGTAGAGTATTCAGCAGCTGACGAGTTCTACCGAGATTTGATGAATTCATTAAATCCTGCTTTATTAACCCCTCTATATTGCTTGTTTTAAATTCGTACATCATTTTGCTGAATAAACAATCTCCTCCGAATTGCTATGGTGTTCTGCGGTTACATGAATACCCTGGGTATTATTCTTTTTAGCAAGATCTTTAAAAGTGATGATGCCCGGTTTCTTTGGTTCTCGATGGAAGCGCCAGTACTTAGGACTCCTAAATAGAATGGAACTCACACACACACACGTCTACACATATCTTGCATTTCATTCCTAGTTATTATTGAACATTCTTTATTTTGATAACCTAAACTTTAAAAGTCGTGGTGTAACAACAGAAGACAAGGGCCAGGCAACAGATCGTTTATTGAGGAAAATCAACACATATTTATAGATTTTAGTGTAGATTATTGTTAGTAGAAAATACAGTCTTTTGATTGGTTGTTTCTCATAGAAAGTTAACCTTGCATCTCATTGTGACTGTGTCAGATCATCCATATGCTAACTGTATCCGCCTACGCAAAGCCTTTGTTCTCATCATTTTCTCACCACCAATAAATGTGGGGGACATAAACATTGATGTCAATTACTGTTTACCAACTTTATCTAGCAGCCACCTCTCACCACAGTGGTAATTAGGTTTCACTTCCACTCTGTTTTGATGACTAATTCATAATCTGATTATAACTACATGCCCAGACATCGTCGAAGCATCTGCACAAGAAGCTGACATGTCAACCTGAGACCGAGCACTTCGGTCCAATCAATCGACGGGAAAATCTATAATTCAGTCAAATAATTCATATATCCTTGCTTTTCATTTAAACTCTTTTGTCTATCATCTCTTTCATTTCCTCTCTCTGTATTAGCGATTCTCTGAACTGAAACATCGACCGTTACTGGTCGATTTAACAGTTGAAGAGAATACACGATTAAAAGTGATCTATGGTTCATCTAGTGGATTTCATGCTATCGACCTAGATTCGAATACAGTCTTCGATTTATATATTCCTTCATTGGTAAGTTGTGTGTGTGTGTGTGCTTGTTCATTGGTATCCCATCTTTATATTTAAAATATTTTAATTAAAAATTATTTACTTTGGTTGTGTGTACACACAATGAATGAAGGGATGAAAACAAATCATCTCTGTTTGAGTGTAGTGTAGTTGTCGTTGGTAGCGTTTAGTTAATTTGTTATGTATAAGTTCTAAGTGGAACACAGGGCCTCAAGTTGAAGCTTTGAAGTTTCGATAGCAGTTATCCTTAATAAATTTCATTGGGTGCGTTTGCTAGCCAGCCTCACGCCCAACCTTCCTTCTTTGCCGGCCCAGCTACCAGCTTAGCGACGAGGTCTGGGAGTGTGTCGACCGGGGATCGAACTCTGGACGTCATGAGTGGTTGGCCAGCGTCCTACCGCTGAACCACTGACGTACAAGTATAAGTGTGTATTTTCTTTTCAAACTGTTCTCTTATAAATAGGATAGACCGATGTGAAGTTAATTAGCTCTCTAGTGGGACTATAGAGAATTAGATTGCAACATATGAGATTGATCACATTAGTCTCATTAGTGTGAGCTGCATTGTCTTTCGCACAGGTGTGAGGTCTATCGCTCAGTGGTAACGACTCTGACTGCAGCACTGGGTGACGCTGGTTTGAATGTCAGAGAGGGATATGAATTCCTCCTTTAGGATTGCAGATACGCCTTGCTGACTGGTGAATGTGCCAAAAAACACGAAACCTTAGTCCAGAACTTCCTTCCAGTTACCTCCAATTAACTAACATCAATTCAGTGTGATGTTTGTCTAACCACCAGACGATGTGTGTGCTGTTGTGGGAGCAGTATGCTTTCTATTACTGTACGGCTGTGAGATATAGCTCTTCAAAGTAAAAGATATGAAGAGGCTGTCTGTCTGTCTCTATCTGGATTCAACATAGAACTTGCAACCAGTTCGAGTTGCCACGTTCCAAATAGCACACAAAGGTAGACAAGAAAATGAGTGAAGAGAATCAATAGAGTTTTGACAAGTATAAGAGTGAAACAGAATGAGTAATGGTAGAAAGGAATATGAAAGATTACAGAGACTGAATACATCTGCGTAAGCCATTGATTCTTAGAGTCCCGAGGGCGGGCCCCAACCCGGAAGTCTGCATCTCCCTACCTGACTCAGTTTAACTGTCAAGGATTTCATGGATTGATTGATGCCATGTTTTTGTTTGGCCACCACTTACTCTTTTCCAACCTGCACCTATATCAGCTAGTAATGCCCGTCGGGGGAGGCGATGGTTAGGCATGCGCAGCACGTGACCTAGCCATCTCAATCTATGTAACTTTATAGCCTCTTCGATTGATTTTCCCTCTTTGCCCAACACTCTACGCCTAACGTCAACATTACTTACCTTATTATACCACCTAACGTGAGAAAGAGATCGTAGACATCTATGATCAAAAACAGTCAACCTTTTCATGTCTTCAACTCGTATTGGCCATGTTTCAAAGCCATAGAGAAGGACGGAGCGAACTGCTGAGCAGTACACACGTCCCTTGGTTGATAGTCGGATGTCACGCGTACGCCAGAGACGGTGTAAGTTAGCGAAAGCAGCCCGAGCTTTCTGGATCCGTGCTGAGATTTCGTCACCAATCAATCCGTTGGTGCTGATACAACTTCCCAAATAGGTGAAGTGGTCAACATGTTCTATCACTTCACTCCCTATCACTAAGCTAGGGGTAGACGTAGTCCAGTCCTGTAGCAGCATCTTACATTTTACAGGGGTGAATCGCATGCCAAACATACGAAGATTGCTGCTCAAGGTGTTCAGAAGACTCTGCATCCTCCCCTAACAGGACTATGTCATCTGCATATTCTAAGTCTATAAGACTATTCCCTGGTAACAAGTCGATTCCTAAGTCGTTAAGTTCAGTTAAGGATACTTCCATTAGCATATCTATGATGAAGTTAAACAGAAATGGGGAAAGTGGACATCCTTGACGGACACCACTGGTTGTTATCAATTCAGATGACAATTCCCCATAAGCCCTTACATGGCTACGTGAGTTTGAGTAGAGTGCCTGATTTTCTATATATTCCAATAGGTATTTCCCATGAAAGTGAAATAGAACACTTTTTTCTTCTTGAATAAAAATGAAGTATTTCCCTTCATATTTTGTTTGTGTGTTTGTTTGTCTTTTTCAGATCAATTCACAGATCACACCTCATTGTATAGTGGTTCTTCCCAATACAGATGGGATGCAATTACTTTTATGCTATGATAGTAAGTCAATATTTTGATTTACAATACTTTCGTATTGATAGAACTTATTATCTTTCTTTGAAAATATGTATTGATTATGTATACTAATGATTGATAGTATGTGTGCGTGTGATCTCGTGTTCACGTCACCTTGATCCGAATGGTATGATCTGTCTCAAAGTATACTATCATATGACTTGGTGGCAGTATGTAGAATGACACATCGCATTTAGCCTGGTTTCTAGGTATCATATACTGACTGAGATTTGAATAATTTTGATTAGTTTATTAGATATATCACACAGTCAGTGAAACAGTATTATTTATTGGATGACAATGTTTCGAGCACAATCTGTTAGTGTTCATAATCATTTCATCAATTATAATCACACGACTTCGAAACTTGAGTTTTATAGTTTTCTTTGTTCTCTCCTATTTGTCGTCGTCGTTGGGGTAGTAGAATTTTCCATATGTCCGCCTGGACAGGCGTTGAATCATTCCTATTACACGTGTTTGCTGTCAGTTGATTCGATAAACAAAGCTTCTGTTATCAATCTCTCCCTCCATCCAGCTGTTACATTAGATTTTGAAACTGTC